GTAGTGATACCCAAGATCATTGTTTGAACCAAGGTAAACAGAACCCACTGGCAACCACACTAGCTGTTTTCTTTACCTGAATAGTGCAATTGTGTTTATGATAAAGATACCAAAAATCATAAGCTTGTAATATTTGATATGAAAATTCTGTAAAACTTATTCCTCCTTCATTTTCCATTCTATTTTTGACGCTTTATTTAATTATTTATTGATAATGAATTATTAATTGATTAATTGACTAATATGAAATATTATATATCATTGATATTTATATTGATACCGATATTGATATGGACTGATATTGATTGATATTGATATTGATAGATGATTTTTATAATGTAAATTTTTTTTTACCTTTCTTTCATTAACATATTATTAACTCTAAAATATCTCCCAATATCGCTTAATAAATCTAAAGCTGGCATATTCTTAAACCAATTGATATTATTAAGTATTAAAATATCATCATCATTTTGATTATTATTATTGAATTCATGTCCATATTTTTTTGCATAATCTCTCCTATTATTAAAGATTTTTCTTGTTTGTATTTCAATATAATTAACATTTTCTTTTATTGTTGATATTGGTAATGTTTGTCTTTCTGATTTTCTACCTGATGGATCTCCAATTAATCCTGTTGCTCCGCCTATCTTTTTTTTTTAAAAAAAATATTATATATATATACAATAAAAATATAAATTATTAATAATAAAAGTTACCAAAGCTATGATACGATGTCCACAAATGTTAAAGTGTAATAATCCAATTAAAGTTAATAAATTTCCTAAATGTAAACTTTTGGCTGTTGGATCTAACCCACAATAAATTGTCCTTGGCTTATCGATCTTATTTAATATCTCTGGACTTTTTAATGGTAAAAGAAAAGTTTTTTAATTTAAGAGTTAATGGGTTAATTAATCATTATTATTTATATGAAGTTAACCTAGTAATATTATTTATCAATTCGCGTTTTTTTAATTCTGAAATTGGATTGATGTGTAAAAAGATTTTGTTTTTTATAAATGTTTTTTTATGTAAAGGGAATGTATTTTCTTGGAAATTTTTACAATAATTATCTCTTATAAAAAAAAAGCAATATCTTGCTTTTCTCATATTTATAACTGGCCGTCAAGCAATGTAACACAGAAATTTTTAGATGGATTTATACAGAACCCTGGAAATTTTTTACTGGGATCCTGAAAAATTCGATCACCTTACAACCTTTCATCCCGATTTTATGGGCAACTTATCAGCAATTCCTCTATATTGCCGAAGAAAAACAAAAGTTGATGAATGTAATGCAAGAAGATTCAATATTGGTAAAGAAAACAGCTAGTGTGGTTGCCAGTGGGTTCTGTTTACCTTGGTTCAAACAATGATCTTGGGTATCACTACTCCTGGCCAGGGAGATTTAACAAAATAACCAGCCATTCGTTATATGATTTTCCACTTTTTAAATAACAAATATTAATGCTGTTATTACATGTTTATTAAATATTAATTAATTAATTACAAATATTAATATAAACAAATGATGAATTAACGAATGAACGAACGAATAATTTAATAATCTAATCTTCGCCTTTGTCAATAATCATTAAAAATTTTCTTACAAAACAAAAAATTTTTTTCTCCTCATCCACCAATTAGAATCATTGGTCTGTTTTTTGTTCTAGCCAATTCAAATGCGTCAGAATGCTGTTTTTTCTTATTTTTAACAGCCACTTCAACAATTTCCAATAGCTCTCGATCAGAAACATTTTGTCGTAATAAATCCCGAAGGCTTACTTCTGTATTTCCAAACAAACAAACCTTCAAGTTGCCATCTGCGGTAATTCTTAATCGATTGCATGTTCCACAAAAATGATCTGACATGGAAGTAATAAATCCAAATTTTCCAGTAAATCCAGGTATACAATATGCCTAACAATTGTCAAATAAAACAAAAGGTAATCCATCAAGTTAATAATTGGCAGAATGAAAGTGAGCAAATGACGTTTTTCATCAAATCATTGTTTTTAAACAAAAAAAAACCTTTGAAGTATCATTTAAATCATCAGGTAACCTTCGAATGGTGTGATATCTGGATTTAATATTATCCAATAACTCTTTATATGGTATAAATTTTTTCTCATTCCATTTGTTAGCTTTTAATTGGAATAAACAAAATAAAGGATTATCAATAATGTATCTTTTATTGAAAATAAGATTTACATATATATATATATATATATATATCGCCTTACCATTAAATGGCATATATTCAATGAACCTTACATAAATAGGCTTGTTTTGTGTCAACTCTATAAAATCTAATACTTCATTTTCATTCATTCCTCTTATAACCACCGAATTGATTTTTAAAGGTTTAAGGCCCAATTCAATAGCTTGATCAATTGTTTCCGAAACTCTTTCAAGGCCTTTATTTTTCAAATTAAAAGTTTATTTTTTCCCCTAATCAATATATAACTTCTTTTTATAGATATAAGATTTGTTTACCTTTTCTACGCATGATCAATTGAAATTTGAATGGATCTAAAGTATCTAAACTAAGATTCAACAGACTCAATCCAATCTCAACAAGTTCGGACAATTTCCTGTTTTCAATGCTATTCCATTAGAAGTCATAGCGATCATCTGTAAATCGTGTGATTTTAACCTCCCCAATTCGCCTAATAGTATATATATATATATATATACATATATGAACACACACATATACACTCACTGGTCATAAGTATAAGGACACTTGCAGATCATCGGAAATAATTGAATAAAGAAACATGAAAAAAA